AGGGGGCTCAATGTGCTGAAGAATGTTGAGACCCCTGCCCTGGCTGGAAGCTATTAAACAGAAAACCCCTGCCATCTCACCCTTGCTTTTTCAAGAAGCAACTGGATTTTCTTGTTTTTCTTTGAAGATGTTTCTCTTCTCATTCAAGAAGCTTCTTCAGCTCTTGAAAAAGCACCCTTGGAACAAACATGATCTGGATGACTGAGAATCTCCATATACTTGTGAAGGGAGGGAACTTTCTTTAATCCTCTCTCAATGTCTAGATCGGATAGGCAGATTCAGCCATGGCAAGCTGCTATTTGATGCATCCCAGTGCTGTGCCTGTTAAAATAGTAACCAACACTTTGAATTGGCTCTGAAAACATCAGCATCAGCACAGCTTTGTTTTGACAAGATTGTCCTGTCAATAATCTGTCCAATTTATTTGTACAAATTATAGCTTCTGGATTGTCTCCAAAGGCAGCTCCTTGTAGAGCCCATTGTACTAGTCTAATCAAGTGTGATCAAAGCATGAGTTACTGAAGTCAAGGAAACCTGATCCCAGTCAAGGGCATTACTATGGTACTATGCTAGCCAAAATTATGAATACTGCCAGGGATGCACAACTCCATCCAGAATAACTACTGGGATATAGGAGTTACAGGAATGCTCATATGTGCACCTAAATTGTCTGAAAGATCAGGTAAAACACATACAGATTTATATCTCCATCATTCCCTCAAAAATTAAGATTGTATGCTGTATGTTTTCTACCACTTCTGAAATAGATTGTTTCATTCCTCTTCCTGATCTCTGAAAGGAGGAAGACTCATATAGGCCAAATAGAATAGAAGTGTAAATTTCTTGCAATTTGATTTTTCTCTTCCTCCTATATTAAAAAGTTTTGGAGCTTTTCACAATGCTAAATTAAGTATATCCACCTCTCCTTGCATCAGCACAAAATTGGATTTCTCATCCCTATTTTGCTTCTATTGCATTTTTTTTCCAGAATAATAGCTGGAGGGTGCTGTCCTGATAGTCAATGTGCCATTCATTACAGGCAACATGATTGAGTTTCTCACATGGTTTCTTCACCATGTTACCAATAAGAAATGAGAACAACACCCATTAAAGCACTGAAACAAGAATGAAAGCTTGATTTCAGGACTCTTCCTGATTTTTCTAGGTTGTCTGCATCTCTTCCATATCTCAACAATAAAGAACAAGCAGTGAAAAAATGTGATAAACTAGCACTTGGTAAATCAGCCTTGAAGGCCTTGAAAAAGATATTCAAATCCACAATGTGTTTAAACCTACAAAGATCAAAACAGTGCAAGCAATAGTATTCCCTGTCACAGTCTATGGAACCAAAAGTTGGATTCTGAAGAATCACAGTAAGAAAAGTACTGAAGCTTTTGAACTTTGATGTTGGAAGAGATGCCTGAGAATATCACAGACAGTCAAGAAAACAAATGAGTCATCAAGCAATCAACCCGGAGTTCTCACTCAAGGTATACATTATCAGACTCAAAATATCCCACTCTGAAAATATTTTGCAAAGATCTAACTCTCTGGAGAAAGTTCTAATGCTGAGAAAGATAAAAGGAAGGAGAAGAAGAGGATAAAAAGTAGTTAGGTAGATAGACTTAGTTACAGCAGCAATGAATGCACCACTAAAGACCTGAAAGACTAGGTTAGGGAGAGGTTGTCATGAAGAAAAATTATCTATGTGGATTTCTGACAGTCAACAATAATTTGATGGCACAGCCAGCCAGCCAGCCAGCCAATCCCATCTTCCTATATCCCACCAAGCATTTTCCCAGTTAAAATAACATGAATGAAAAATGGAGAAAAATCAAATCAGAAATAGCTCTTAGAAAGGTGGATGTCAAATCTTGCTGTGATTGTGAAACCCTTTCCTATGGGAGAAGAATTAAAATTAATTAGCTTCTGGGGAAAAAAGAAAGTGATTAAAATTGACAAATGTAAAGAAACTGGCAAAAATGTTTTGCCTTCAAGTTGTTATGTGCTCCTGGCTACTTTCCTTCATGACCAGAGGCAAGCTTGCCTGACCAATAACCAGCCAAGACACAGTGAAGGCCCTTTGTTTCATTTATTGCAGTAAGCGGGGAGAGAAGCTTTCAAAGCTTGGTTCTCTCCAAAGTTTCAATCCAAAATATTCCCTTCTTTATACAAACTTGTCCTGGCTGCCACATCCCTCCTCTTTCCCCATTGGCTGAGGTACTATGAGGTTACACTCTTTCTGACCGTCTTCTACCTATTTCCTGCTACATACTAAATCACATATCACATGTACATTAATAATATAAATATTAGGCATAGGTTCTTTCCTGTTTTTCAGTTTAGTTAAGTTTTCCGGGCTAGCCATTTCCTCTTACAGATGTTTTTATAGCTTGTCTTCTTCCTTTCCCACTCTAAGACCCAGCTAATTTTTGCCTACATATTTATTTTACATCTTCCCTTTATGCTATCCTTTTCTGTTCCCCATCCATTATAGTTCTTTGGTAAGCTTGTTTCTCCACTAAGTAAGTTTCCTCTGCAGCAAATTCAATTTTAAATTTCTTTTTCAATATTAAAATTTGAAGACCATTTACTCATTCCTATCAAAGTTCAACATCCCTTGATATTTATATGATGTTGCAGTTTTAAGAAGCATGGCTGCTGCTACTTCTAAAGTTAAAGATATTCACTGATCCCTTTTCAGAATATTATTAAATAGTTTCAATTCATTCCCTTGTTTTCCACAAATAAAATAGTGACCATTTAAACATTTCAGATAAAATTAAAGCAGGATTGTATAAATATGCCTATCTTTTCTTGTTTTCCTTCCCAAAATAATGGAGCTCTGCTCTATTCTTTTCTATTGTATTAGAAGACTGGAGATAAGTTGGTGTCAAAAACTGGGAAGAAAGGAAAGGTCCTTCAGATTATTCTAACCAAAATTTTACTCACTTTTCCTTTTATTACTCTCTGGCTCAACCACAGAGAAGAGATGGAGAAAAGCAACATTTAGGCAGGAAAAATCAAAGGTACAAGTACAGATAGGATGAGACCTGGCTTAAAAACAGTAACTGCAAGAGGGACCTTGGAGTCCTAGTGCTTGACTATGAGCCAGCAGTGTGCAGCAGCAACAACAAAAAAAAGCCAATACAATCCTGGTTTGTATACACAGAGGCATTGAATCAAGATCATACGAAGTATTAGTACTGCTTTATAAAACCCTAGTAAGACCACACCTGGAACACCGCAGCCAATTTTGGTTACCATATCACAAAAAAGATGTTGAGAGTTTGGAAAAAATTCAGAGAAGAGAAACTAAGAGGATCAAAGGCCCGGAGACTAAAACATATGAAGAATGGCTGCAGGACTTGGGTTTGGTAGTCTAAAGAAAAGAAGAAACGGGGGAGACGTGATAGCAGTATTCCAGTATCTGAGGGGCTGCCACAAGGAAGAGGGGGTCACTTTGTTCACCAGAGCACCAGAGGGAAGGACGAGAAATAATGGTTGGAAACTGATCAAAGAGAGAAGCAACCTGGTATTAAGGAGAAAATTCCTGACAGTGAGGACAATCAACCAGTGGAACAGCTTGCCTCCAGAAATCATGGGCATTCCATCACTGGAGATTTTTAAGAAGATATGAATCGTAAGTTTTCATAACTTTCTATTCTTACAGTGTCAGGCCTTGGGTAAGCATTCACCCTTGCTTGCTTCCACAAAGTGAGTGGAAACAAATCAGGATAGTTATTTAGTGAGCAATATGATAGAACTATTTGACTTTGTCTGCATGGAGGATTGTGAGTGTTGAGTCCGTGGCGGGAAAACAGACACGAGAAGCAGCTGGAGTTCTCAGTTTCATTTATTCAGCGTTCAGCTTACAGGAAGATGGCTTCAGCCTCGCCCAAACGCCTCGCAGCCTCTTATATAGGCAACTCCCGGGTAAATGGGTTACTTTTCCCGCGCCAGCACCCGCGCATGCGCACGGCGCTGGCGACAGCCTGTCTGGTCCCGGGCAGCTTTGCACCTGCCCGGGACTGCCTGCAAACGCCCGAGCCGTTTGCAAGGCTCGGGACATAACACCCCTTTCCCCCGGGCTAAAACTACTACCAACATACAACATTTATTTTATATGACATTTTGCTCCCCAGTGCTCCCACTGATTACTGGCTTTTGCCTTGCCAGCAATGTTATGTAATCTTCTAGATACTTAGGAGATTTCTTTGCTCTCTGTGACCTTCTTAGCTCTGGATTACTGGCATAAGTCCCCTGACTGGAGGGAGGCGTGAGCCTGTTCTCTCTATTGTGCCCTGGTGTCTTCCAAGGACTGTGCCCCGATGCCTGGCCTGCTTGCTTGCCCACCGGGCTCGTCAGGCCAGGGCTTCTGTTACTTTGTGACCTGGTTGACCTACCTAGCTGTAGACCCTCAGGCCCCTTGAAGTGATAGCCGCTGCTGGGCGTCTCTGTAGAACCTCCTAGGTCAGTCCAAGACCTGTCAGGAGGCTGTCCATTCCCTGAACCCCATTCTGTGTTCGGGCTCGTGTGGGTTTCTGTACTTTCCCAAAACTCAGGTGTTCCCTGATTTGTGCTAGGGTTGTTGTAGTCGGGACTTGGTTCCTCGACTAGCTCTGTGTATGTTTGACCCCCTGTAGGATTTGGGGTAAGGTCAGGCCAACCTTGGGAATTGTGTGCCAGCTCTCTTGCGGGGAATGATTTGTTGGGATGCCCCCGGGTATCCTCCGTTGCTGGAGTGCTGTGTGATGTGTGTGGAAAGTGAGTATGCCCCCGGGGTGACTCCCTGGCTGGAGTAGGCGTGAGTGCCTGTTGTGTGGGTAAGCTCCATGACTTCTTTTCGGAGCAATTGCAGAACCTTGGGACGAGCCGTTTGTGGCTCCCTCAGTGGAGATGGGCAGTAGCTCTTGCCCTTCCCTTTGCTCCAAAGGGTCCCCCTCCCCCCTGGAAAAGACCCAGGAGTCTCAGCAGAAAAGTCCTCGCCTAGAGCGAAGTTGGTCGATGTGCCGACGCAGGACACGACCGTTGTCCAGGGCAACCTCGTAGGAGAGAGGACCTGTGATCCTGGACACAGAAGCGGGGACCCATGTATGACCAGGCCCGTAATTGCGAGCCCAAACCGGGGCACCCACAAGTAGTTGTCTAGGTGCCCTAGGATGTGAGGTAGATGAAGGCAGTCTGTCCGGATGCAACCGGTCAAGTCTAGTAGTAAGTTGGCGCCCCCAACGAAGTTCAGCTGGACTTCTCCCTGTAGAAGTGGACGGTGTGGTGCGATAAGAAAGGAGAAAGTCAGCCAACCTGTGATGCCAGTCCCCGTAGGTGAGTCTCTTCAAGGCGTCCTTTGCGATGCGCACCATGCGTTCAGCCATACCGTTGGTGGACGGGTGAAAAGGCGCAGACGTGGCATGACGAATCAGGTTTGCCTGTAAGAAAGCTTGGAATTCGGAGGAGGTGAATTGAGGGCCGTTGTCGGACACAATGACATCTGGCAGCCCGTGTGCAGCAAAAATCCCCCTCAGTACCTGAATAGTCTTTGCAGTGGTGGTGGATGAGACAGGCACAACCTCAAGCCATTTTGAATGGCTGTCAACAAGGACCAAGAAGAACTGGCCCTGAAAGGGCCCAGCGTAGTCAATGTGCACCCTAGACCATGGGGACTGTGTTTCCTCCCATCTATGCACAGGAGCTTGGGGCATCTCTGGGCGAGATCGTTGGCACAGGTGGCATGCGTGTACCTTAGCCTCAATATCTTTATCTAAAGCAGGCCACCACAAGTGGCTGCGTGCAAGAGCCTTCATACGAACAATGCCAGGATGACCCTCGTGGAGGGATTCTAAGACCCTAGTCCTCATTGAGGTGGGAATGACAACTCTGTTTCCCCAAAGCAGACAACCCTGAGAAAGGGACAGTTCGTTTCTTTTGGACCAGAAACTCTGAAACTCAGGACTAGGGCAGTGTTCAGGCCACCCGGACAGGACCCAGGAGCGGACACGTGAAAGTGTGTGATCTGTACCTGTTTCAGCGGTAACATCCCTGGCACTAAGAGGGAGCTCGGGCAAGGCTTGGATCGATAGAATGTTGACAGCTGGCGCGGGGTCAGCTTCTACTACTGGCAGAGGCAATCTACTGAGGCCATCAGCATGGCCCATTTCTTTCCCAGGCTTGTGGAGTAATGAAAAATCATATGCAGACAAGAAAATAGACCACCTAAGCATTCTAGGGGAAATGATGTGGGGAGTCTGCTTACGTGTGGTAAACAGTCCCAGCAGAGGCTTATGGTCAGTGAAGACTGTGAAATGCCTGCCATATAGAAAATCGTGGAATTTTTTAATTCCAGCAACAACAGCCAGAGCCTCCCTGTCTATCTGAGCGTAGTTGCGCTCGGCAGAAGACAGTGTTCTGGAGTAGTATGCAATAGGAACCTGAGTTCCATCAGACCTGAGGTGACTCAGGACAGCTCCAACCCCGTAGGGGGACGCATCACAAGCGATGCACACAGGGAGAGACTCGTTGAAATGTGCAAGAACACTGTTAGAAGTGAGCAAGGCCTTGACTTCTTTAAAGCAAGCCTCATGCGCTTGTGACCACAGCCACACAGCCTGTTTGTCTAGTAGCCTGTGAAGAGGCTCAGCTACACTAGCTTTATGTGGAAGAAAAGAATTGTAGAAATTCAGGAGGCCTAGAAAGGCCTGAAGTTCGGCCTTAGACTTTGGCCTGGGTGCATCTAAAATAGCAGTTAGTTTGGATTCAGCAGGATGAATCCCAGCAGCATCAATTTTGAATCCCAGAAATTCAGTAGAAGGCACCCCAATCTGGCATTTGTCTTTTCTGAGCTTGAGGCCTGATTTCCTGAATCTTGACAGGACAGCCCTAAGCCTTTCAGCTAGAATGTGTGTGGAGTCTCCTGCAATCAAGACATCGTCAAAGTAGGGGCAGACCCCTGGTATACCTCGTAGTGTGTTTTCCATAACGCTTTGGAAAATCCCAGGAGCGACATTCACTCCAAACTGTAGCCTTTTTACTTTAAAGGCACCCCTGTGGGTCACAATGGTCTGAGCTATGGCAGCATCATCATCAACAGGCAGCTGTTGATATGCTTGAGCTAGGTCAAGCTTTGCAAAAACACGCCCCCCCTTGAGAGAGGCCAGGATGTGACTGACCACAGGAACAGGATAGGCATGTTGCTGCAATGCCTTATTGAGTGTGCATTTGTAATCAGCACAAATGCGAATGTCCCCATTTGCCTTTAGAGGCGTGACAATGGGGGTCTCCCATGGGCTGGAATCAACAGGTTCTAGGATTCCCTGTTGGATTAGTTTGTCTAATTCAGTGTCAATCTACTTTTTAAAGCAAAAGGGACCCTTCTTGCTTTAATCTAATGGGAGTGACAGTGGGGTCTAGCTTTAAGGACACAGGTGGTCCTTTGAATGTGCCCAGCTGGGGGCTGAAAACATCTGCAAATTCTTTGCAGACTTCCTGTAGGTCGAGTGTTTGTAAGCTATTGAGTCCTGTGACGTGTATCCCCAGGGCCTCAAACCAATCGAGTCCTATGAGACTCGTTCGTTCACCCCCTACTACTAATAAGTCTAGTGGACCTTCAAAACTCTTGTATTGCACGTTAAGGGTGGCCTCCCCCTTAACACACACTCTTGAGTTTTGAAAATCTGTTAATACAATATCAGAAGGCCTTAACTTGGCCTTAGACCCACTTCTGGAACAAATCTTCCTAAATGTATGCAATGAAATGATGGACAGGGCAGACCCTGTGTCTAGTTCCATAGATAATGGAACCCCTTGTAGCTTCACATTGAGTGACAGCTTTTTCTTCATGGGCTTGTGTGTGCCTGTTCTACAGATGCTTCTTTGCGAAGCGCAAAAACCTACCCTATTCTGGCTGGGGAATCTGGTACCCTTCAGGCGTTCTTCTTGGGGTTGTGCCTTTCGTCGGCCCAGGCACACAGCTGCAATGTGCCCTAGTTTACCGCATGCCCGGCAGGTAGCGGAGCGGAACTTGCAGTCGGTTCTCCTGGGGCGACCTCCACAACCGATGCACTTGAGCGGAGCCGAAGAGCTTCCCTTCTGGTTCTCTTCCTTCGCGGGGTGTAGACGGTCGACTTCCTCGTCCGGATCCTCCTCGGAGTTTCGTCGGACGTCTTCCTGGTGCACGGACGCACCCTCTGCACTTTTTCTGATCGGCCGCATGTTTTTGATGGCGCCGCCTGCTGCTTCTTCTGCGGTGACTTCCCTTAAGGCGTCTTGGAAGGATAATTCTTCCTTGGCAAAAAGTCTCTGTTGTAGCTCTCGATGCCTTAGCCCGCACACGAATCGGTCCCTCAGTCATTCCTCGAGGTCCTTGAACTCGCAGGGCTTGGCGGCCTTCCGTAACGCGGCGATATATTCCTTGGCTGACTCACCGGACCGTTGATCCCTTTGTTCGAAGGTGTGGCGCCATGAGATAACGGACACCTTGGGATGGAAATGCTCCTTCAGCAGCTTCGTCAGGTCTGCGTAGCTTACAGACTCTACTGGGACAGGTGCTGCAAGGTTTTCTGCGATTTCGAAGGCGTCTTGGCCGCAAACGCAAAGCAGGGTGGCCGCCTTCAAGCTATCTTCCCTCACTTGGTTTGCCTTGAAGTAGTTCTCCATTCTGGATATGTAGGACTCCCACTGCTCTGGATGTGAGACGTCGAATTCTGAAAGCCTTCCGATTTTCGCCATCTTCGGATCTTCAGGAGACGGGTCTATCAGCCAGCCTACCCCCGAATGCGCACCGGACTGGCGGGCAGCTGCCGAGTCGACACCGTTCCTCTTTCGCCACTCAGGACTCCTTGGGTAAGCTTACATTTCTTCCTTTCCAGGTAGTGCAAGGCATCCCACCTTCGTCGCCAGTGTTGAGTCCGTGGCGGGAAAACAGACACGAGAAGCAGCTGGAGTTCTCAGTTTCTTTTATTCAGCGTTCAGCTTACAGGAAGATGGCTTCAGCCTCGCCCAAACGCCTCGCAGCCTCTTATATAGGCAACTCCCGGGTAAATGGGTTACTTTTTCCCGCGCCAGCACCCGCGCATGCGCACGGCGCTGGCGACAGCCTGTCTGGTCCCGGGCAGCTTTGCACCTGCCCGGGACTGCCTGCAAACGCCCGAGCCGTTTGCATGGCTCGGGACATAACAGTGAGCATTATTAATTCCCCAGTATCAATTATACATTCTTGTTTTTTCTACCTCTGGTTCTCTCTGGAACTTTGGGAAGCAAGGACAAAAGTGGAACAAAAATGGAGAAAGCATATTTACAAATCATTTATTTCCTTATTACACTCGTAAGTTTTCAATTTATTATCATTTCCTTTCTGAATTAAAGCAAACTTTTTTTCATTTTGCTGTTTTTCCCCCCTGAGGTCTGTTGCTTTCACTCAATGACTCAGGTCATAGTCAGGAGGAGGATGGTTTGTATAACTGCTGGGGGTGCTGCTAATTTCCATGTCAATGTTAACAACATTCTTCAGTGTTTTCCAGCCACTCCTTTTCCTCCTGATCCTTTGTTCTTATTTTGCTACCTTTAACCTTTGTCTTTTTCCAGATCACCAGGACCTTATTTATCATCTTATTCTGTGACTCCACTACTTCCTGATTTTATCCCTCCTGATCATTTGTTCTTATTTTACTATCTTTGCCCTTTGTCTGTTCCCAGGTCATCAAGACCTTATTTATCATTTTATTCTATTCACTCCACTACTTCCTGATTTCACCCCTTTCTCTCTTGTTATTAATTCTAACTTTATCTTTTCTTATTTTATGTAATATTTCATTGGTTGTCCTTTAACACTTGGCAACTGTTTAGGAATATTTATATTATTTATTTATTGTCTATATACCACTGCAACCCTATAGCTCTGGTTTATTTACTTTAATATAGAAAACATTCAAAACATTCACTGTATTATTTTAAAATAGTAAAATAATAAGTATAAAACCTCAGATTAAAATATCCCACAGATCTGGTGGAGCAGACAGAAACCATCAGGTATAATTACCCACTCTTGCAAGTGCTGGCTATTCCTTCCCATCCAGATCCTTACAATCTCACAGCATTTGGATAGGATATCAACAGCATCTCTCTTACAACCTGAAGTTGCAACATAAAGTTGAGTATTATCAGGATAATACTGATTACCCCAAATTTCAGACAGAGTGATATCATTCTCCCTACAAAGGCAGGTTTCAATAATACATGCCAGTTCTGCTGTTTGATCTCTTGATTGGTTATGTGCCATCAAGTCAGTGACAATTCTTAATGGCTACACTGATTTTCTCCGTGACAATCTGTCCCTAACCTGCCCCTTCAAATATTCCAAAGATGTACCCATTGCTGCTATAATTGAATTATCCATCCTTCTGCTAATTGTCCTCATCTTTTTCTTTCAACTTCCTTAGCTTTATGGGTTTCTCCAAAAGCTAGGTCTTTGCATAATGTCTCTAATGCAGAACTCCAGATTGACTTATTTGATATTCCATTAACTCTTTACTTGGTAATCCAGGGTGTTGTTAGGCCTTTTTCCAAAGTTCAGAAGTACCAATATACTTTTCCCCCCTGCTTCTTCCAACTTTTTCTGCCATAGATTGTCATATTCTGATTTTTGCAGGAAAAGATGCATTTGAATATCTTTCCCAATTTCTATAATTAATAAATCATATCTATATTTGGCGATCCTAAGCCTCATTTTGCTAGAATGCAAAATTAGGATTATTATGTGATAGACTCACCTCTTTCAAATTATTGTCCACTGATTCATTCTTTAGATTTCCTTGCATAATTTGTTAAAAAAAATCTTTCTCTGCTGCTTGCCTTATTTCTGGAGATATTCCATAAATTCCTGCTGACTTACAAGTTTGTA